ATATATATATATATATATATAAGCTGCGTATTATGACGAATCAAATATACATTTTGAAATTCCCTTTAATCTTATCCGAAATATGATATACTCAAGATCATACCATTACTCACATCCGACCATGATAACTATGACTGAAATAGATCAGACCATAACGGATTCTAAATCGTAGCGAAAATCAGCAATATATGACGTTAACACGTGAAGATTTAAGCATAAGATGTAAACAAATTGAGAATACTTATATCTGCGGACATACCAATCTTATATACCGAAAACATAAATTCGTTATGTGAAATTCAAATGCATGTGCAAAATTTTAATTCCAAGATATTGTGTAACACGCGATATATTAAATCTATTCATATAGATAGTTCTCGAAAATCAACGAGCATGCTATACTCCACCCCTCATGAACAAACAATTACTATAAAACTGTAAAAATCGTGAGGAAAATTGTAAGAACGGGACAAATTGCGCTAAACGAAGAACATAAATTAATAACTGCGAACATGACTGTAAAAACAATAGGAATCAAAGCTATAATCATTCAAACTCGCTTACCAGAGTAACCCGTAACCCGTTTGCGAAAGTAGCTAGAGCATAAGGACTTAAATCAACCGGAAGTAATAAAATTAAGAAAACTTATTTGCGACCCGATGGAATTAATGGATTTAAGCATCAAATTACAAAATGTAACAGCAGAATTAAAAAATGCACAAGAATCATCATTTCTGCTGGAACCCATTATATATATTTCAATTTCGAGTAGTATTGTTATATTAATTAATGTGATTATTGTAATACAGTAATTATGTATACTATCAATAAACGAAAGAATCGCGAATATAACAGATCCCGCGTTAAGAAAAGAGATTTTCATTCAGAAAACATCAAATCTCTGTTTTCTTTTTTCAACAAGGGAAGGATGTCATGACTCAAATAAGTCATATCCAAAATTTATTTATAAAATTTCTGCAGACCAGCAGTTAAAGTATCACAAATCAAGTCACTTTTGATTTCAAAACCGATGACATACTTTAAAGTGCAACCACGCATTAATTCGGCCTAAATTGTAAATATAAAAGCGTAAACTTCGAGCATCTCGAGGCCGTTCCGAAAGATAAGAAGACACACTGCTGTGAGAATCTCCGTTACTGCGAGCACTACTGTGAAACATCGAAAGATTGTAACACATCGATTACTTGTAAGTGGAAATAAACTTCTTATCCCACGAACGCTGGCTATATTAATTGGAGGATCTCGAATCCTTATCAAATGACATCGCCACGTCCAATCTGTGATTCCGCCACGCCCTGAGCAGCACGTCGTACGACTGTTTAACGGCTGATTCATAAATTCTATAAACGGTACCCTTGCATTCTGAGCGATACAACACTGCATTTTATTACCCAGTTTCTGCCCATGACTTTCTTACAAGCCCACATAGAGATGTAGAGCTTTTTTTTCCTGTCTTCGAGGTATGTTCTTAGCTCAATGTAGGATCCAAGTATACTTCTAGATGCTTCACTGAATTAATATAATTTATTACTTTGTCCGAAAGTCTTAAAAGCTGTATTTGTTCGGACTTATATTTTCTGATGATAACCATGGCCAAAGTTTTTTTCGAATTTATCATCAGTTCCCTCGTCCTACACCAATTTTTTCTTGAAAGTCGTGAAGAAAGTTGCCTCTGGTAATAATGGTCATGTCATCAGTTAGATTCCCTCAGCTTTGTTAGGAGCTCGTCCACCACCAGGCATAGCAGAGGAGAGAGAACTCCTCCCGGGTAGCCCGACATCGGGCGCCCCTCAATGGTAAATATTGCGATGATTGATGGTAAGTTTTTTGTTCTCCAGCATGCTTTGAATCCAGTCCATTATTTCACCTGGAATTTTGATTCTTAACATGGCATCCTTCATCGATGAAATTGAGTGGCTATCAAAAACTCCTTCAATGAAGATTCTTAACGCATATCCCCCTGCGGTTAGTTGAACCTTGACCCTAAGTGCAGGGCCGTAGATCTGCTCTCCCTGTAAGCGTATTGGAATGATTCAGAGACCGAATAAAAAGGACGTTTTTTTCAGATACCTATCAATCAGTCTCTCTAGGGTCTTCAAAATGAAGAAAGTGAGATTGATAGGTCTGTAGTCTATAGCCATAATGTGGCCTTTTCTCCTTGGCAGAGTGGTATAAAGACCACTCTGATGTCACTCTATGCCTGAAAGATATATCTCAAGGCTATAATAGCCCTAAGCACCTATGATAGGGGACCCGATAAGTTTCCTATACCTTCTTTGAACAACACTAGGATGCTATCCGGTTCCGGTGACTTGTAAGATTCGAAGATCTTTATAACCTATTCGACTCCGTCAGGTGATAATACTTTTGCTGCCAGTGTCCATTCCCTGGACTTATATTCCCAGAGTTGCTTTGTGAGTAGCAGATATCCTTTTGAAAATCTGAAAAATGAGTAGATATTAGTTTGAGGGTTTCATCTATTATCTTGGTTTCCGTTTGGAAACATTAAGCAGCTCAGACGGGAAGTATTGCTTTTGCTGAGGATTTTATTTAACCTGGATGCTTTAGGAGCGCTCTCAATGCTTTCATAAAAATTCCTCCAGCTTTTTCTTTTAGCGATAGTCATCGCTTTGCTATAACAGCGTTGTGTTTGTCTGTAAACTTCTCAATCCGCTATTAAGTTTTTCCTTCTTGCTTTGTTAAAGAACTTTCTCACAACTTATGTTTCGAGAACTCTTCGCTTCACCATAACATCTTAATATGTGGATGTTTTGGCTCTTTCGGGGCAGTTTGGCCTCTCGTAGGCCTCTTTTATTTCGTGTCATTCATATACTGAGCGGCGAATTCTAAATTCTTCTTGAAGTAGAATCTGATTGGGGCGTTCCTTAGAATGGCCTCAAGATCCATCCTATAGCCCTAGCAATTTGTTGTTCTGAGACTGCGGTTTCATTCTAGATTTTCGTATGTTTGAGAGCATTTTATCTGCCCATAGTCCAATCCTGAACGTAGTTCTCCAGACGCTCTCCAGTCCCGTATCAGGCCAGCCTTTTCGCTGCATATGGTTATATCAATTACATCTTGTATTCTAGAGTCCATGAAGGTGGGTTCATATCCTCTATTCAGAATGACTGTTAATTAATTCATGGAGGCTCTCTCCTCTCGAGTTCATATTTGAATTCCCCTATCCTATATGGTGAGAGTTTGCATCACAACCTAAGAGGAGTTCGAGCCTCCATTTCTTCGAAATGAGGCGCCTTTGCTGTGATGCATGTTAATTTATACTATTGGTAACGTGAGACTCGCGAAGTCTAAGCGGTCTCCATTCTTGCAGTTGTTCCCTCCCTTGTATTCTTTATTGATTAGCTTTACAGTTTCAATCCAGCCCACAAAATGGTTTAGAGCAGCAGATCTTAAGGACCTCCAGGGAAGCGCCGCAGATCAGGGCAGCGAAGTAGGCACTCTTGGTATCCCTACTTTCGTTTTCCCTCATAACGACCCATTCCTTGGCGCGCAGACCTGGGTTTTGTCTCAAGAAATTTAATGGTTTGATAATCAAAAACTCCTTCATATGTACCACTACCCGGTGTTACTTGGGAAGCTCCTCGGTCGGTAGCACTTGCAGGGTAATGTCCACTTATATTAAGGGGGGATCTTAGTCTAGTATCTTTAAAAAATCGAAAAAAAATTTTTTTATTTTCTAATAGTAGAACATTTAAAAAATATGTTCCTAAAATATTATTTCGGAATTCGAAAAATTGACGATAAGCGATTTAATAGATGACCGTCCGATCGTTTGACGTGCTCAGGTAAAAGATTCGCTCGAAATGCGGAGATCTGTTTATGTTCCAAGAACCCTAAGTCCAAACAAAAGAAACTGGATCTCTTACACATATAACAAACTTTATACGTATCTAACTTAACTATAACAGTTAAAATCTTAGTGGTCTTTCAAATTCAGTTCTTTCTCGAACTTTGATTTGAATGGTACATGAATAGATAATATATATCATGGAAAGGAAACATAAAAGAGGAAGCTCTAACTGTCAAGACAGAAAAAAAGAAAATATCAAAGCAATCAATTTTCAAATCCGAAAATGAAATCTCGTTTACGAATACATCAGCTAAAAGATTGAATGCGAGCAGAGACGAAAAAGTTTGTATCGATATCAATCACGGATATCGGATTATAGAATTTTTCTCAGTATTTTCCATACTTTCTTAGTTTGTTTGATCGAATTCTTTGAGGAAGCAGAAAATTTATTTTATGGACCAGGAATAACAGATTAATTAGAAATTAAATATGTAAATATAAAAAAACTGTGTATAAAAAACTGTGTATATTGTATCTAAAACTTTAAATATGTTTTTTTCGAAATCATATTTTTCGAGTTCGTTGACATCATAATATAAAAACTAATAATCTTGGCTTCATCTTTTGAATAATTCGAAATAACTGTTATATCCTTTGTGTAAACCTATAAAACTAATAAAATATTAATAAACTCTTTTTTTTTGTTAAAAACGTGTCAAAAGAATAATAAAAAAATCAAATCTTTTTTCAAATAAATTTTTATTTAAAAACATTTTGTAATTTTTTACCTAGAGCGAGGTTCACGCAGAAGAGGAATTAATAATACATGAAAATATATCTTACTTTTTTTGTTTAAAATCGTTTGAATGGGTTCTGCAATGTCAATGGCAAATTATGGTTACACGAAACGCCTCATGCACTATGGCGTATATCTTGGACAAATCTTAATAAAATCATTTGAAAAAATTTATAATTAATTATTAAATACGTATAAAAATTCCCCTAAAATTTAAAGTTTTTTACAAATAATAGTTTTAAAAAATTCTTAAATTTGCCCTATTTCTTAACGTCTAAACTAAGATCCCACTTTAAATTCAGTGGATTAGCTTTTTAGCCAGTCCACCGACTGTTAATTGGCGCAGTTAATGATAACTGCGCTATACCTCTCCTAGGTTCTAGTAAAGGCGTCTACTCTTGGGAAGGTCGAGAATGCGCTGCATAATAAATTTCCTGATCTCGCCCATCTCATTGGAACTTAACTTGATTTCAGGATAGCCTTACGAGGGTCATCCTGATAATCCCCTTTGTCGCCTGGGCATACGACTCTCGATCGACAACTTTGGGTTTTTTACTTGGACGACTGAGGAGATGCAGTGTTTCGACCTTGCGCGTTTAATCGCGCCGGCTGCAGTATCCCCCTCGCCTTTGAGACTTGGGCGCTTGAGAGTATTAAATTTAGAGCTGCTGCAGCCCGTTCTCCCTTTTGTAGCGGCGTTTGGCCGCTGAAGCGAGGACTTTGATTAGACCCACCTTCATTGTATTGCTCTCCTCCGATCGTTCTAGGGAAGCTACGCCCTGGAGAACTTATTCTAAATTGGTTATTGTCGTTTTTTATCATTCAATTCCCACGAATACCGTGGTCGCGCGATCTCCGGGTAGAGCCGCGAATGCCCAGGGTTTGGCTATTACTCCTGGAGGACGCCCAGTATCCAGAAGGCACCGTCCGAGATGTAACTTCCCTTGCGCCATGCAGCTCCAGGCACGGTAGTTTACACGCTAGCTTGAGGAGGAGGGTTCCTCTTAATTGGCCCACGGATCCATTTCTGATTGGATGGTACCGCAAGTACCCCCAATCCGTAAGCCCCATCATGGTCCCGGAAACTCGCGGCCCCCAAGGATGTCAGGAGCACACTTTGTTGACGTTTATGGCATCAGACATTTGACACGAAGACATCATACCTGCGTTAACAAATCAAAATTAATTTTCGTGCTCTATTGCTATGGCGCGTTCAGACTACGTGCATTCCAAAGTGCCCCACGGCTCGCGAGCTCCTGCCCCACTACTGCTACAAGATGAGAACCCTTTCTTGGAATCACAAGACGTAACGGGAGCATATTGATATTTGCTCCAAAAAAGATAGAATCTCTTTATAGAAAAGGAATTTTAGAATTAGGCATATATTTTAATCCTTCTCATATGAAGATCATAACGTTATGAAGATCATAACCTTTGGTTTTATCAGTCGCCCCAGTCAAATATTATATCAAACAAAGTTATAAAAAATAAAATAGGGAATTCAACTGCGATAATGTTGACTTTGACATACATTGAACAACAATCGAAGTATTTTGATAATCACTTGTTAATTAGAGAAATTATTAAAATTAAAATGAGCAATTCATCTCCGACTTTAACTTTCATACACATTATAAAGATCATCATACCGAACAACCTTCAGAAAGTTGTAGCAGTAACCCATCACGCGTTACAAAGTTATAAAAATTGAAATGATCTTGACTCATATTGTTAAAGTCATGACTCTGAATGACCATCGGAAAGTTATTAATCAATCGTTGTTCGTTAAGATTTATTATAAAGTAAAGTAAAAAGGTTGAGATTGCTATCAGTAAATATTCAATTTATGCAAAATATGCATTTTATGCAAAATATTCAATTAAATATTTTGCATAAATATCTGCAGTCTAATAATGATGAAGCGATTTATTCAACCTTGATCTCCATTTACTTATAACTTAATACAAAATAAAAAGTGATAGAAGAAAAACAAAGGTATACACTGACAATTGTCAATTAAGCTAGGAAATGATAATGAAAAAGCGATTTATCTATTATATATTCGATGATAATTAATATTTAACAAAAGGAAATCGAACGGAGATGAAATTATACACTTATATTTAATGTTAACTAAGTCAGAAGATGATGATAACAAAACGATCTATTCGATCTTGATCTTCATTTGTTTATAACTTAATATTTAACAAAAGAGATCAGATTGAAATAAAATTACACGTTAGTAATTATTAACTAATAAGGGGATGAACTAGATGATGGTGCCGGGGATTTTTATGCGCTTTTTACAGACTGTTCTTACGCGAAAAAAGATATGTGTCTTGCCGTTTCAGGCATTAGTCATAATTAGTCATATTGGTTCCAAGAAATCGATTTTTTAAATAATTATTGTAATAATTTGAAAAACATACTGTATAGGTAAATATCAGTATCTTTATAAATTTTATTTTATTTTTCCAAATGTTAAGGATAAAATTACACTTGGGTAGATGATTCTGAATCTCGGATGATGATTGAACGCAGCAAGTAGACAGCGCACCAATCGAAATGTTACTCATTTCAGTAAGCATTCGACTCACTCGCGTGTGCAACGATTCTTCTAACTAAAGAAATATTTCAATAAAATTTACCAGTATGAAGAATGACAGAAATGTTCATGACGAAATCGCATATGCTAATAGAGTGGAAAACGCGATTATCGATGCTGAACAAGACAAAACAACATCCTTGTCGCTTTCAAAACAAATATAACTGATTGGCTGAACTTTGTGATCAAATCGTATAATATAACTGGCTGAAGAAGTGGAAATTTCCAAATTTTTTTAAAGGTAGAGATTATTGAAAAGAAAATTGCGGAATTTGTGGCAGAAATGATTCATACAAAGATGTTGCTTCCATACGTATAGTACTAGTTATTATATAAAGAATATTACTAAGGTTTCGATAATAACAGATGCTCGCACTGAAAACAAGGGAACTGGAGATTCAATTCTCTGAGGTAACATTACAATAAAATTATTTAAAGATTTTAATATCTTGTTCAGCGTTGTAAAGACCTTTTTAAGATGCTCATATGCATATCTATGATATTATTCCGATAGTTCAATCGGATTTGCATTTTAAGAAAAATCATTTTGTTGCGCAGTTTAAAGAACTGTATATAGTATATATATATATAGTATCTAAATTTATACTGCATTATCTAAACACTTAAGGTCTAACTTGCCCTTTAAAAATTTCACTCTTTCTAATTTCTTAAATAATGGCCTAACTTTAAAGAGGTAAAAATTAATCCATAAAGCTATAATTGTACTACGTTTTTGAAATTCTACTGAGGAAATAAAATTTAGGTATCTGTCGGAAAAAATTGATAACCAATCGAATTCAATTTCCTCGTTTGTGATATTACAATGGTATTAACAAGAAGTTCAACTTTTTTATTAACTTCTACATGTAAATACATTCTTGGATGAAAAGAAATTAATATTTGTAGGCCTATGTTTATCATGTCGGAAGATATAGCCATAGTAACTATCAAAATATCTATAATAAGAAGGAAATCGAAAATGAAATTATCCTAGCAATTAGATCTCTATGAACTTCGGTATACATTACTCCCTGTTAATTCTGGAATATATATTCTCACTTATTTTATTCAAAGCTTTTAACTGTTTGTGTTTGATAACTTATACAGTGAAAATTGTGTTCAACTACATTAGATACTAAGCAGTTTTCTGTGATCACATCATTTTTTTCCAAAAATTCCTCTTTTTATAATCGATAATAATACGTTTTTGAGCAAGATTTTTATACAATTTTTAGATGTAGATACATCCTGACTCGAGTTTGAACAGGATTGAGGAATAGATTGAGGAATATTATTCTTCTATTTTCAAATTCAAGTCACGATATATCTCTTATTATGCCCAATCTTAATGCGGTTTCTTCTATATGTTTCTACATTTTTTTATTAGGTGTACAACTTTGCTTACGCCGTTTTTTTCCGAAATTCGAGGCTTTATTGTAAAAAACTGGTTATACATTTATGATTCAAAGTATTGTCCATCGCTGGCCACTATTTTCTCCCATCTTTCGGGTAGCGTACGAAAAAACTGGTCATCTTTTGAGGCTATCCACGAATCGATCCAATTTTTTACTTCTTCATAAGAACGGAAGTGTTGGTCAGCCAGGCCGTGTGCCATTGATCGAAACAAGTGTCAGAGGGAACAACGTCTGGAGAATACGGAGGGTGGGGTAGGACTTCCCATTTCAATGTTTCCAAGTATGTCTTGATCACTTTCGCAACATGGGGTCGAGCATTGTCATGCTGCAAAATCACTTTATGTGTCTCTCGTTGTATTACGGCCGTTTGTCTTTCAATGCTCGTCTCAAACGCATCAATTGCGTTCGATACCGATCGCCTGTGATTGTTTCAGTCGGTTTTAACAGTTCATAATACATTACGCCCATCTGGTCCCACCAAATACAGAGCATGACCTTGGACGTCAAAATCACCGTTCTTGAAGCGTTGAAATCACTCACGACATGTTCTTTCACTAATAGCATAAATATTTGAGAGCACCATAAATATTTGAGAACATTTGATGAGCCTCAGCCGCAGATTTCTTCATATTGAAGCAAAAAATTAAAACCTCCCGCAAACGAGAATTTGGCTCGTAAACTGACAATCGAGAATAACTTTATGATGCAGACACAAATCGACTAATGTTTCTATGGGGTTATGTTGACAGATGCCCAAGTTCATTGTATGACGTCTATGATCTATTTATTTCGACCACCACTTACCGCTAAAGCCATCTATAGGAAAATGGCGGAAGCAAAGTTGTACACTTAATATTTATTATTATTATTTTTTTTATTTACTATTATTTATTATGTAACTGTCTGTGCCGGATTTGTTTTTTTTTTTAAATTTTGTAAATGTTTTGTGGATCGCTACTATTAAATGATGTCTCCATCTAGAAAATTTCTTCCGAATTGGACAACGTAATTTTATTTTTATCTATTTATTTTGTTTAGTGGTATATTAGGTGCATTTTTCGATGTCTTTATCTTCGTTTCTTTGTTGTGAGAGCTTAAGCATTGTAGCCAAAATGTAGAATTTTGTAAATTTTAGATTAAAATGTTGTAAGATTTTAATGATTGATTGAGAATTAAATTTATATTCTATTTATTTATTTTTAAAAAAGAAGTTTTTAAAATAATTATTTTATGCACGAATTTTATACGCGCCCTGATTCCCATAGCTCTACATTTTTGAAATTTTGTTGAATTTCGTGGTGTCTTGTAAAATAGATTGTATTATATGTTCTATTGTATCATTGTTACAAGTCTGATTTTACAATAAATAATAAATGTTTTAGAACAAAAGAGGACAGTGCCAAATACAAACATGAGAAAGATTTAATAGACAAACGATTGCTGAAAGCGGAATCTGAACAATCTAAACTGAAGCGTGAATTAAAGCAAACTTTAATTGATGTCAAGAATGTTGAACAAGATGCTCAAACCTGTCGCAAGGAACAATTCGAGGACAAGCAACGAATCAAAAATCTGTTACGAGAAAAGACTAACATTACTGTTAGCAAAGAGACCGCATATGAGCGAATCAAGCGATTAAATTACGAACTATTATTATGTGGACATGGCAAAAAAATGATGGAACATGAATTGGATACTCTGACACAAACCATCAACGACATGAAAACACAAATGGAAGTTGTAGAAAAAGAAAGAGATAGATATAGTACAGCAGTACAGGGATTAGGACAGAAGGTAAAGTATAAAATATTTACAAAGTACTAGGTAATAGTACAATAAGTGAACAAA